GAGGGAGCTGCAGCAAGGAGAGACTTGTATTTTTTCATTGTTTTCTTTGGCACATACAACACAGTTCAAACGTCTTTTTTGAATTACATTTTTTATTAGAGGAACACAGTGTTAATATAGAATTTAAAACTTCACGTGTACACGGCCTAGGATGCAACGTGCTCCCGCTGAGTTACGAAACACTGATGCCGTGAAGGCGAACACCAGCTCCACATTTGCGACCGCACAGGGATGTTACAAATGGTCGGGTGTGGAAGCTTTGCACGCAGGCAGGTCTACGTGGGACAGGACGAAGCAGATTAGGAAGAGGTAAGGAACAGGAAGAAGGGAGCAAGCTGGATCTGCCCCGGCTGAAGGACTGCTCTCAAGAAGCTGTTCTTCATTTCCCCTCCCAAATACCTCAGGGAGCGAGAGGGTGAAGGACGGCCATGATGCAGGTGGGGTCCCGTGGAGAGCAGCGCCGTGGGGTTCCGCAGATGGCACTGCTGGCCAAGGGCCCCCGTGCAGAGGTAAGGAACAGGAAGAAGGGAGCAAGCTGGATCTGCCCCGGCTGAAGGACTGCTCTCAAGAAGCTGTTCTTCATTTCCCCTCCCAAATACCTCAGGGAGCGAGAGGGTGAAGGACGGCCATGATGCAGGTGGGGTCCCGTGGAGAGCAGCGCCGTGGGGTTCCGCAGATGGCACTGCTGGCCAAGGGCCCCCGTGCGAAGCGCGGCTCGGGGTGCTGCCGGCCAGCCGTGGGCCATTCTGCACCGTCCCTTCCACTCCCGCTCTCCGTGCCGGGCGAACACGCAGGGCTCCCTCCTCCTCCCACTGCTGGCACCAAGATCTAATGACATCAGCGGACAAGTCACTGAAGACTGCTGGGATTTGGCACTTCCCTGGTGATGACCCCACTCCTGCACTCCTGTGAAGTGCCACTGCTTAAAATCTCAAGGTCCTGCTTCTGAATCACAGTGTTCCCAGAATTGGCCTCCCTAAATAAATGGCCTGATGTAGGGACAGGGCTGGGAGGGACAACCAAGAAATCCCCTGAGAGCTTGGCAGCACCTCTTCATTTCAGTGATAGCACTTGGGCTGCTCAACACTTGAACCAGACAGTTATTTTCAAGTGTAAGCATGGATTTAGGGGCTTTAATCCAGATCCACTTCCCTTGGAAGGTTTGATTCTAGAGAGTCAAGAAAAAGGGGGGGGAAAAAAAAGAAAAAAAAAGAAAAAAAGAGAAAGCCACACTAAGACAAATCAAGAGTTCAGAAGACTCATGAAAAACTGTTTCAACCTTACAAAGCTTTTTGACTCAGGCCTCAAAAATCACTTTACTGAATTATTACAAAAATAGCAATATAGAAACTACCCTTTCTCAGCTCAAAGTTTAAGCACATCTAAGAAGATCCTACAGAAACAGTCCTCTTTCTGGCAAGGCACTATCCAGTAGTGTGTGGCACAAACAAAACCACCTCTATCAAAGCCACTGATACAGTGAATGTGCGCGTGCACATCAGTCCACTCAGTAACTTCAGCTAGGTACAAAGATTCACATTTTAATTCACACTGCTCCCCCTTTTAAAAAGTGGGGTAGTTAGAAGTACTGGCTAAAAATCAGGATCATTTGGTTCTTTATAAGCAAGTATTTTAAAGAAAATCAAGAATTTGCTATTTCTTTCAATAAATGGCTCTAGTTTCCACAGAGCTTTTCGGTTACCAGATAGTACATTTCATTATTATAAAATTGGTTTAAAAAATTCCAGACCATCTTGTGTAACAAACTAGAACTCTACTTGCTTTAATTACAAAAATAAGGCTGTCGTAAAACAGACCAAACTCACATTCAAGCAACATATATGTATTTTTTTTTAAACTAGTCACTTATAATTCAAAAGCACATATTCTAAGGGACTTACACTGCCAATCCATGCAAGCAAGCAGGATGTCTTTGGAGCTAGTGTCGTCCTCCATACAAATGATTATGCCCACATGTGTGCTCTGAAATAAGCTAGGTTTACCTAACAGCTGTAACAGGGCTAGCTCTCCACTGAACGGGAGGCTTCTGTTCTACAATTATCAAAATTCAAGAAGAGTTTTGTGAAACTAATTTCATCCCAGGAGAAATCAGTGTGGTTTTGCCTTTCACATCAGTAAGCCTGGGATTTCACCCAGGATTACTCATGTGTATATACTCACACACTTAGGTTTAAGTTTTTTGAAACAGGGACTACAGGCTGTTCTCAAAGTTTACAACATATCAAGTACATGATAAATCCAGGATGGCTCCTCTGTAATCAACTGCACAATTACATAATTTTATATCTGTATTCATTTGCAAAGTTAAATATTTTTCTTTAACTTTTTTTTAGGAATATTTATATTGAACCTGGTGAGGTTAACAACGTACAGCTCCACCTCATGTCACATTCCCTTCCTACAGTGAGTTCAATTGTCATGAAAATATGGGATTGGTGACAAGAATGTCACACTAACTTACCACAGACAACATTAATTCTTAAACATGCACATACACATATGTACACACATATATGTCTATATGCATGTTACCAACTCCCATTCAGGATTCCTCTAGAGAAGGTCCTGTAGCTAAGATTTTGAGACTTGAAAGCTGTGTGTGCTCTTGCTCCATCTAGTCCTTTAAAAGAGCTGAGGAGGCACCAGAGGATCCAAAGAGAAACTGGTTTACGGATGGACTCCTTTAACATCTCCTTTTTTAAAGCTTTCTTGCCTTTGCACTAAAGGGAAAAGCCACACAGCTGTAAGCAGTTTGTAGCTGAGACAACATGAACAGGAAGGTAACCTGTTCTTTACTCCAGCAACTGGTAGTCACGAACATTGTTCATGTCATACCTCTGTAGTCGTGAGTAAGCCATTTTCCAAAATCTGAGAGGCTACAGCCCTCCTATTGTTCAGTATCTTCGGCAGGGACTTGGATGATGACCTAGTGTGCACCCTCAGCAAATCTGTGAATGACACCTGAACCTGGTTCAGTGGTTGGTAACAGCTGGCAGAGCTTCAGGCCAGTGGCATCTCAAAACCTTGAGGACTGGGACAACAGAAACCTCATGAGGTTTGATAAGGACAAGTAGAAAATTCAGCCCTCGGGAGTGGCGAGGCATCAGTATGGGCTGGGAAGCGACTGACAGAGTATTACCCCTGCTGAAGGGACCTGGGCATTTTAGTGAACGCCAGGTTGATCATAAGCCAGCGATGTACTCACCGCAAACAGGGGAAAGCACGCAGTGCACTGCTTCAGGAGAAGTGGGGCCTGCAGGCTGAGGAAGTTATTATACCCCTCTACTCACCACTGGTGAGGCCACCTCTGAAATGCTGTTTTGGGGACCTTCTCCCAGTTCAAGAGGGATGTGAACAAAGTGGAAAGAGTAGCCCTCCACCAAAACAAAGCAGCCAGGGGCCCAAAGCACAGCCTGTGAAGAGAGGCTGAGGAAGCCAGGTTTGCTTAGTGTGGTAAGAAGGCGGCTAACAGGTGATCTAATGGTAGCCTGCAACTATCTTGAGGGCAGTTACAAAAAGGATGGTGCCAGTCTCTTCCTGTGAGTGCCAGAGAACATAGCAAAGGCAACAGCCACAAATTACAGCCTGGGAGTTGAGGCTGGACATGAACAGAAAGTTTTCACTAGGAGAGTACTGCAGCACTGGCACAGGTTACCTAGAGGGTTATGAGTTAATTAATCTTTGGATATTTTTAACACTCCACTAGAAAAACCTGATCTGATCTGAGCTAGTGTTCATGTTAGCCCTGATTTTGACAGTGCTGGACCAGATGACCTCTAGCTGTCCCTTCCAACTACCATGTCCTGGATGCCATGGTTACCGATTTTAACAGAACGTGTGATTTGGTGCACAGACAGTGTTGCTTTCTGACACTTCAAGCTTCCTTCAAGCCACACAGTCTGTGATGCTGTGATCACCAAGAAGATTTCCCACATAATGGTTGTCTTTCATTACCCAAAGACTTAAGGACATTTACTGGAATGGCACTACTCTGTCGTTATGAAATCACTTCAGTAAAACCTACATTACAGCACAGCTGTTATTTTCAAAGCCAGACTTGATTCACAATGCATAATGCAATTTGACTTCTGTCTAGAATGCATTTTGTAATGGTTATTGCCAAGTAACGGGCCTAAGTTCTGCTATGTACATCAATGCAGTCCCACTGGAACAATCTCCACTTCCTTTACTTAGCTCCTGTTCCTCAGATGAGCTGACCTTTGCAGCCCCATCCAGCAAAGCACACACTCAGCTTTCTCACTGTCTTTGAGGCACCTCCACATTTCCACACCTGGGGATATAACCAGTTCAACAGCTGGGTGAGTTAGGTGTGCTCTTGGACCACAGTAGTGTGTTTAACCATCCATGGGACTGAGCCCTGGCTCTCAAAGTATCCCTCTGACTCTCATGTGGCTAACGGTGGAGCTGTGTATTACTGAAGATAAACTCAAGGTTTTGGCAAAATTTCATTTTAAGACAGTCCAACTACAGAGCTCCAACTTTGGGTGTTAAGTTTTTCTCAGTTAAGAAATAACTTAATATTATCATTAGCTATGAGACCTCTTCTTCTGAATGACACAGTATTTTCCACCAAGTGTTTTCCTGCACATTTCACCTGCACTTGGAACAGGAACCCTGTAAAAATATTTAACTTTGGCACCTCCTCCATAGTAACAACTGTTTTTAAACAGTCCGTCACCATGTACATCATGAGACAAATCAAGTTTTCATGAACAAGGTTAGCAGCCCATGGCTTTTACAATAAACATGATCTAGCACAAACATCACAATAAATAAATGCCGAGCAAAATTACAGCAGTTATTGGCTTAGACTGAGATCTCAAGATTGATGATTTTTACCTTCTGGATCATAACCAGCACAAGCATTTTAATAACCACCAGCACTTTAACTATCATGATGAGCTAATTTCAGCTACAATAGTTGGAAGAATTAAAAAAGGTAAGGAATCTGACTACATAACAATAGAAGCCCTTCACTTCCACTCCCTCGTCTCAAACATCCGTGTCTGTTAGAATATCAGTGACAGTTGCAAAAGCAATCCAAAGACAAAAGTGAAACATCAACAATGAGTATTTTTAAAAAGGAAGATGAGTAGCCCGTCCTTAATCCTGTTTCATATATGTGTTATTAACTCCATATTATTGGAGAGCACTGTCTCATGGCAAGCAGACTACTACTAGTGATGCATGTTTGCTCTGTCACAGTGATCCATTAGGGAAGCTGTTGTGTGCTGAAGAATAGGGTCACTCATCCAGGAGATGTGCTTGTGGATACTTCAGATAGACTTTCTAGGGTTCTGACTCCTATTTAAAAGAAAAGAGAAAAAAAGGTTATTAATGCTATGAATAAATTCTCATCTCCTGTGTCTAACCCCGGTCCACACAGCAGTTGAGGATGCATCACTCTGAAGTACTGCCAGACTGAAGCAGTGATCTGGCCAAGTTTACAGAGACCCTCCTCCAGGACTACAGCAGGTTATTTCCCAGGAACAGAGCTGCATAGAAGCTGCTATTTCTGATTGCCGTAGGACATGATCTGAGGACTAGTTCTTCAAGCTATGAAGCAAGGCAGGCTGCCAAAATAACCTGCTCTTGTGGTTCCCTGCTGACGTCCCCTCCCACTCCTGTCCTTCATTGAGTTCAGAAATAAGTGAATCCCTGGCAGAAGAACTCTATAGATACCCAAGAGCTACCGCCCAGGCCTGAAACAGTACTACTACCAAACACAGCTGTATCTACAGTGGACAAGGGAAGAAAAATCCTCCCCTATTTGTCTGATCTACTGCTCAAAAGTGAACCATGCAGTCTCTTTCAACAAGTGTCCAGGCTTCCACATGGCAATAAAATCTCCTCTATGATACTGCCCTCAACAGAAAGATGTTATCTAACTTTGTGTTCTGGCCTGTATATATGTATTCGTTAAAACTTAATTCTTATCCAAAAAATTGCTACAACTGATGCCTGATCCAGCATTTCAGCATTTAAAAAAACAATAAATTAATGCCTAATAAATAAACGCTGTCCTCGATGAGCCATTATGCTAAGCTGGCCCAGTAAGATGATGTTTTGGTGACATAAACTGCAGATATTCCAGTGATTAAGATCCTAGTTCCGTCTCCTGTTATAACTAAGTCAGTTGCTTTCAATTTACATTTATAATATGAAGGAGAATGTATTCTTTAAACTTCATTTATCTGCTGGCTCCAATTAACTCCCATGTATATGCTTGGTTTCATTTAAAATGCTTTGCTTCTCATAGCAACAGTTTTGATTACCTCATTAGCATGAAGCTGATATGGACAAGGTATGGATAAAGGCAGTGGTGCATCCGAACACACAGAGTTCTTTAGAATCAAAGAAAATTCAATCTCAATATTTCAAGAATTCCATGAAAAGTCTGCAATACTACACTGACCTTTGATGCCAAAGTAGGTTTCAGTCCAAGAAAGGAGAAGACAGTGTTGCTCTCCTTTGATTCAAAAAAGCCATCATAATCCTAGAGAGGGGGAAAAAAAAAAACCCATGAGTCAACATTTGTATTTGTGTTTTCTTGATTGATCTTACCACACCGTGTATCAGACTAAACGGTGATATATAATAATGCTTAGGAAAATACTGATACTCACCCATATTCTGCTATGCAAACCTAAAAGCTATTCTAAACTGTAATGATGTCACCAACTACAATGGCAAAGAAAAACACATCAATTGTCTAACTACAACACCTTTCACTACTTTTTTTGACAGGAAAATACAAGCATGGAGTGGCATTCAAAGGAAATCTATTGTGAGTATGTTTTAAAATTATTTAAGTGCCTAGCAATGCAAATAGGTTTCTGACTGGGTTTCCAATTTGCATTTTAGCACACAAAATAGTACCTAACATGAAAACCTCCAAGAAGAAGTCCTATGACAGCTGAACTCCTTATTTCTTCTGTGCTGGAACAAAGACTTTATCATCATTGTATCCTTTGAAATCAGCCATCATACCTCAGCCTTGGACAACCACACAGTTAAATACAAAATGTTATCATAAAGACACTTGTTGTATAGAAAGATAAAAAATAAGCTTCATTATCACTATTAAGTTCCTTTTAAGTTTCAGCTGCTTAAGATCAGGTTCTGATGTCAAAGCATTATTACTACTTTTACCGATTTGTTTATTGCATTGGATACCTGCTACTCTTCTGTCATCAGATGAGCTGACAATATTCAGTTTTCAAGGGAAAAAGAGAAAAACAGAGCACACTTTAGTGCATGGATTTGGCATATGGCAGGAAGCCAGCAAGTTTCAGGTTCTCTTAGAGGAAATCTTTGCCAAACCACTATGACCACTAGCAAACAATAAAGCACCCAGTTCAGACTCTTTTCTTCCTCCATATAACTGCAAAATCCATACTTAACGACTTCTGACACATAAATTACTCCATAAATGTCAGGAAATATCAGGTATGTGCTCATCACTAAATAGTAATTATTTCTAAATATCTATGAATAGTAGTCATGCTTAACTTGAAAGCATTCAACAAGAGAAATCCCTTTAAATACTAACTGTGCACATATACATCATAGTAACAGGCAGTCTCCATGCCTCCACATGCTTCCCATCTGTCTTAACAGTCATTCTCAATGTACCTGACCCCCAAAGTCAGCACTTCTTTGGCTCCTAACCTCCAATCTCATTACTTTTTGAGAACTCATCTCTTATTGTTACAGTTTCGGGTGCTTTCCCTGAAATGGGACCTCAATTTTTCCCTAGCAGCTGCTGCTTTGCCTGCTTGTCTCATTCCACTGCCTTCTCTTGAACCTGTAACCTCACAAACCACCTCACAATCACAGGGGACCATGTAAGATAAACAGAAGCAGCTCTAATTGAAAAGCAGAAATGTTTCTCTGACCTGGTATTCTTGGAAGGCTGTCATAGGATATGCAAAGATTCGGAACCTTCTTTTATCTGCCAACCAGAGTTTACTCATGCCTAGCCAATATCCGCTTGTGCTTACATTTTGGCACCTCAGATCCTAAGCAGGAAGCAAAAATGGTCTGGGCAAGCATTCGGCTTCCCAGTATTTCTCTGGGTCTTCACAATGCAGTGTGAATCCCTGAAAAGCTCTTCATCCCACCTGCCAGACCAAATTATAAGATATACCAAATTATATCTTTGCAGAAGGATGGTTGGAATTTTGTGAAGTAACTTTGTAAGGAAAGTGTGTGCTTGTAGATGAAGACTTTACGTGTCTTCATTCTCTTTTTTTCTCTCTACCAATGTAAAATAAAAGATTGTTTGGACAGAAAAATATATAGTCACTATAGCAAGGATAATATACCTCCCACGAGATCCATAATCATCCTGCAGATGTGAAGAATTTCTCTTAAAACCTTTATGGTGCACTACACGAAGATGCTTTACTAGCATTTTCATAATGTTATACTGTTATACCAATGTGAACACAACTGTCCGAGCAAAGTGATACTTTGCAGTTGCATAATCATTCAAATACCCTCAGCCCAGGAAAAAAAAAAAGCTGCACAGAGGCAGCTTCCCAGCCTAACCCTCTATACTAAAAGTATTGGCCCTGAAAGACACTGAGAGGCCAGCAGGAGTGTATGATGGTCATCAGGCCTCAGACATAATAGCTGACACAAGTGGAAGGGGTAAACCTTCTTAAGGTGGCTTTTTGTCATCGTCTTCTTAAAACATGGCATATTGCTCAGCTATAGACTAGGCAGTAAGTCAGTATTCCGGGACTAAGCTTTATGTCTACTGATCCTTTCAGCTTTCATACACATATCTATGTATATAGAGAGAGGGAGAGCACGCACGCATTTATTCTGTCTGGTTTTCAGTTCCATGATTTTGTCTATGGCGATACATAATTTCCAATGAATACCATCTACTCATTTCACTCTATGGGAAGAGCCAAGTTCATTTGCTTTCACTGCCCGGGGAATGAAACACTTCAAGGAATAAAGCAGTTCTGGAGCAAAGGAAGGTAGAATCTCCTGCAATGATCAGCATCATGGACTGGAAAACAGACTTTGCAGACAGATGCTGCTTATAATTATGAGCACAGAACTATTACCATTACTGTTTAAAGTGCTAACATATGAAGATATTAGGCACAGTTTTAAGTTTCCTTACTGTTAATTTTAGGTATGGTCTGTTCTACCTAACTTTGAAATTAAACATATAATTAAACAGAGGAAATAGGCACTTTTACATCAATTTAAAAAAATTGTTAAAGGTGATGAACTGATGCTAACTTCTGAAATAACATAAATTTACAATTAGTAACCAGAAAGTAAATCCAAATAAAATAGACAGATCTCACAACTAAGCCATGGCATAAGCTGAAACAGTACTGAAGGCAACCCCAACAATGCCATGGATTAAAAAGGGCAGGGAAGTGTTCCCAGCCTGAAAATAATGTCATAAGAAATAAGGCTGCATTCCTGTCTCTGACAATGACTTTGTGACTCAGCTAATTCGCCAATATCTGTGAGCATCTGTTTACCTTAACCTCTGTAAAGTAATTTAGGACTTAATCATAAAAAGCTTTCTGGAAGTGCTAGTTATCAATTTTTACTTCCAGAAGTACCCAGGCCTGGTTTAGTATGTTTTTTCCACATTTTGACAGATTATCAAACCTGGATTCACTTACTGAAAAAAATCACGAAGGTTAAACCATTAGCTAAACTGAGTAAGTGTATGTTTGAAAGAGCACAAAAAACAGTGGATTTATTAATTTTAAAAGGAGCACAATAGTTAATAACCACAAGATACCATCCACCAGAAGCAATCTCCATGATGTTTTGAAGTATCAGTATTGCAAAACATATTAAAATGCTATTGACACTTTCTTACTTTCATGGGCGATGGGGGAAAGAAGCATCACGCTTTTAGATAAAGTAGCAGTAAAATTTTAAACAGGAGAATTTTCCTACTAATCTCTGCAATGAAAACATATAATCCCAAAATATTCAAATGTGAAAAAAAAGTTAAAAAATGCATAATAGTCCTATAAAAGTTGAAAGAAATCACTTTAGTATGGTAGTTTCTTAAGATATTTTTGAGATCTCCTTGATCTCAAGGAACACGATCTCAAGGACTCATCGCTTGTGCTTTGGCCCGTGGTAGGAGTTCAGAGTGGGCATCCCTGGCTTTCCTTGTAATACAGGTGAGATAACAAACATTCCAAAAAATATCCTGCCTTTGACCTTACCTTTATATGGAGAGAAAGTCTGTGTAGACTTGGGCCACATGTAAAGACACAAAATCCGTGGGTGAGGACATGAAAATTGTTGTCTCACATAAAGAACACCCCACTGCCACCAGCAGTGGATACAGAGGCTGAAGAAGGAAAATGGTGCCAAGCTCAGTGGAAGCCAAGAGCTTCATACACAGGCAAGAGCCCAGCTGGCTTGCGAGCCAAGGGGTTCCACTTGGAAAAACTCTGTGGGACACTCTGCTTCCCACAGAGGAAGGACACCACCATCCGCTGGTTTTTGGCAAGGCAGCGGTTCCCTGTTTCTGCACCAGGCTTCACCACTGGTAGCAAGTTACTGCAATCCCATTGTCACTGTCCCAAGCAGCTCTACCAAGCCAGCGGGCGCTGCGGCTTTGCTGGGAGCAGCTGAGCAGTGCTGTCTTGCCCCTGTGCAAGGAAGTGGCTCCCACCGACACCCTGGAGGCATTCAGAAAGCAGCTGTTAACCTAAAAATATATGAGCACCGCAAACTGCCACCCACTGCCCCACTTCAAAAGGCAAACAGGTGCACAAATTGCTTTAAATTATGATCCTTGGTGCTTTCCAGAGCTGTTAATTATGCATTATTAACGTATAAAATTCTGGCAACATCAGTAGCCGATTAAGGCTGCTAAAACTAAGGGGACATAGACACAGTGGACATGAATCATCAGTGACGCAGAGATGCTCAATCCCTCTGGAAAAGTTGAAAAGCCAAAAATACAGGTGATAAATCACAAAGGCAAGGGTATGAAAGTTTACCAAGAATGACAAATGCCAGTTAGGAGAAAAAAAGTGTATTTCAGGACAGTTTGAGGGGATAGAAAAGTGACAGAAATATAAATAAGGTGAGTAAAAAGGTATTTCAAGTGATAAAAGGCTTCTTAACAGGCTAACGGTCATCTGACAGCTTTAGGCCTGTTTCCTCACCCTTAAAGTCAATGGCAGCTTGATCACCAAGAAGTCTAGGCAAGATACAGCCCCTCTGTTTTACCCCCAGAATTGTTACAGCATTAAAGATGCTCTAAGAGCTACTAGGGAATGGAGCAGCTGACCTAATAAGCTCTTGGTTTGTTGAAAATAAACAAAGCTAACTGTACTGTGAGTTCCAACAGCCCACCTACAGACCAGCAAAATCTTCCTGGCCTTGCACGGCATAAAGCTCTGCTTTGCTTTCCCTCCTCCTGCTGAGTGACTCAAAACTGGGATAGAGAGGCAGACCGGGGCTGCAAAGATCTTCAGGAGGAAA